GGGTGCGGCTGAGTTATCTTTGGTTGGTCATCACCCCGCTGTTGTAGCCTTTCTGTTGAACAGGGGTCTGTAACACCACTCCCCTTCCTTCAAGTTCTTTGTCCCTTAAAGAACAGATAGCCGCCCGCCTTCTGGGCCGTTGGTAAGTGCATTCCTCCTTTCCCTTATTATGCCTATCATGCCGAAACGCCGCGCTGACGATCTGCTGGAGAACGTTTCTAAATCTCTCCGTCCTTCTCGCGATCAGCGTGCTGTTCGTATTCGACAGTTCGACCATATTATCCGGAACGGTTTCTCCCCTTCGACCTCGTGTGAATATTGCCTTTCTGTCGGTGAAGAGTGCGTAATGGATCGTTCCCGGGAGTACTCGAAATGTGCTGCCTGCACTCGCCAAGGTCGTGTTTGCCGTCGTGATTTTCATACCGAAAATGAATGGTCCCTCCTCCGTCGTGCCGAGGATAAATTGCAACTGGATATCGAAAAGAATGATCAGGAGCTGGATCTCTTGGAGCCTGAGTTGAGCGAACTCCAGGATCGCCTAGCCGCCTTACATCAACAGGTGATGTCGAAGCAAAAACAATACCAGGAAGCCATGGCGCGTCAGCGAAGGTTGCGCAAGCAACTGGCTTTCCTAAAGCAAAGGGGTTTCAAGATGTCTGAGCATGATGCAGAGCTCCTGCGCATCTTGGATGAGCAAAGTGGCGAACCTCAGCCCCCCGTGGAACTTGTCCAGCTGGCCGCCTCGTCCGATGATCCTCCCAATTTTACCCAAATGGTGGAGGCGATTGGTCAGCTTTCGCCTTCCTTCTGGGAGTCGTTTGACCCCGCTGTTGGTGGTATCGCTGAACCAACCGGTGGCACCCCATCAAGTTCTCGATAGGTTCCCATGTGTTTTCTGAGGTATCGTATCCCTCCCATTTTACCAGGTAGTGTGATCTTCCGCTGACTTTCTTGTGGTCCAGGATTTTTTCAACTTCGTACTCCTGTTCTGTGTCATCTGCGATTTCCACTTTTTCTGCGATTTGCGTGTTTGCTGGTGCTGGTTCCAATAATGAGACATGAAATACTGGGTGTATCCTTTTCATCGATTCTGGTAACTTCAAGCGATAGTTAACCGGTCCAATTTTTTCTTCGATCGTAAATGGTCCAATCTTTTGGTGGTCGAGTTTCTGACTTGGTCGCTTGGTTTTAATGTTTCTGCGGAGCAGGAACACTTTTTCCTCCCTTTTGAAGGTAGGTCCCTCCCCATGGTGCTTGTCGTAATATACTGCTGCTCTGAGATTGAAGAAATCGATATCCCTTGACATTTGTGCGTGAAGATATTTGAGCGTGTCAAGTGTCTCTTGAGCTTCTGTCGCAACTGGTGCCTTGTTCCGTGGTTCTCCAGTTAACATAGGGTTGTAACCGTAATTTGCATAAAACGGTGTGACTCCTGTGGTCGAATGTATCGCGTTGTTGTATGCGAATGTTGCCATTGGTAACAGTCCTGCCCAGTCGTCCTGCTGGTAGTTCACGTAGTGCCTGAGGTACTGTTCCATCGTCTGGTTCATCCTTTCTGTTTGACCGTTTCCTTGTGGATGATATGACGTTGTCAATGAGTGATTGATTCCCATCTGGTCGGTAAGCGACTGCCAAAACTTCGATGTGAATAGTTTGTCTCTGTCCGAAGTGATTCGTTGTGGCATCCCGTGCCGTGTGATGATGTGTGCCAATAGCAAATGTGCCATATCTGTGGCTTTCATCGTTGTCTTGCATGGTATCATGTATGCGTACTTTGTCAGTCTGTCTGTGATGACTGCGATCATGTCCCATCCTTGAGAGTTAGGTAACGGTCCCACGAAATCTATCGTGATCCATCCCCAAGGTCTCGATGGTGCGTCTGGTGACTGCATCTTTCCGTAGGGTTGATGTCTTGCTGGTTTGTCCCTAATGCAAGTCTCGCATTTCTTTGTGACATAGTCCTGTACCTTCCGTCTGACGTTTGGAAAGTAGTAGTTCCTTGTGATCTGTTCGGTAGTTTTCTCGACTCCGAAATGTCCGTGCATAGGGTTGTCATGATGCATAGCAATGATCTCAGTTCTCATACACTCTGGTATGTAGATGAGTCCGTGCATATATACTAACCCGTCCTCGTCAGTAGCGATCTTTTCGTTTTCTGCCGAGTTTTCTGCAATCTGCTGAATCATAGCGTCTTCCTTGGTTGCCTTGATGATTTTGTTGACGATGTTGTCACTGATTTCAATTGTCGCCGAGATCGAATGTTGTCTGTTGTACGAAAGTGAACCGTCTTTGTTTTGTTTCAATATTGCTGGCTCCACGATTCGATCCGTGATTTCGTAGTCTGGTCGTCGACTAAGCGCGTCTGCTTGTCCGTTTTCTGTTCCTTTGCAATGTTCGATTCTGAAATCAAACTGTGATAACTTTTCTGAC